GGCGGCGCCGGGGTGGCGGCGGGCGCCCGCCGGCCTCCGCCGAGGGGGTAATAACGGGACGACTGCTCTCATTTAGCAGATATTGCCCAGAACCAAGAGTTTTATAAGAACGCGGAAGTTCGACCGCCGTTCACGTACGCGTCTTTAATCAGACAGGTAAGCGGAGGCGCGCGCGCGCCGGTGGGTTAGGGGGGCAGCACGTCCCTACGCGTGCGCGCTCGGGATTAAACAGATTTAAAAACCTTGGGTGTGTAAGCACGCTCAAACGCTCAAACCTGTACTATAAGGGTTTTGAGAACTGCAATATATAACATAATTGCTTTTGATTAAGTATTACAATACGATGTGATTATTAGGAAATTCATTTCACACAACAGTGAAAATGAGCCTGTTTAAAGATGGCAAGTCAATTATCACAAGCTACAGTAATCTCTGATCCCTAGAATTAATCTGAGCTCTAAATAATTACTGAGCTTTAATCAGCTAGTGAAATGTTTTGCATTTCTCTTTGATTCTGCTTTATGAATGACTAATAAATTAATATTTCTGTAAGGAAACAGAAATAAAAACTCAAAACAATTAGATAATTCCATTTTGAATTTTGCTATTGAACTGTTAAATACAGCCATTAATCTTAGTTCATATTGTGGAAACCCTCCTTTGGATTTTGGCTCCAAATCTCCTCTTCTCTTTCCGTTCTTTCTTCTTTTCTTTTCTTCTTTTGTGTTCGGTTGAAGTAAAACTGTAAGGTACGTTTTGCGCCGGTTCGGTCATAACTGGTCTCGCTTTGCTTCACAAGGCCATCCTCGAATCTCCAGAAAAACAGCTAACACTAAACGAAATCTACAACTGGTTCACGCGAATGTTTGCCTACTTCCGACGCAACGCGGCGACGTGGAAGGTAAGCCTTGCCCCCACGCGCGGAAGAGACGTTGCTGGTGACATAGCGAGTTGTTAACGACGTGGGGGCCGGGAAACACGCGGACGGGCAGTTTTGGCACGCGCTGGGCACCTTATCTGCGGGAACAATTGGGTATTTGGCAGAAAAATTCTTCTGCCTTTGAAAACCACTAATTGAATCCCCATTACTGGCTTTTATGTTCGGTGATTATGCCACTACTTCCTCTGTGTGGTTGCTGCTAGTGGTGAAGCTCAAGCCCTTCAGCTGGAACATATTAAAAAAAAAAAAAAAAAAAGAGGTAAAGTTATTGTGTCGGTAGAAGATATACTGTTTGTCTTTTTAGTTGCACGGGCTGTAATCACAACAACCTCTTTCTTCCTAGGATCTATAGATAAGTGGATTTCTTTCCTCAATCAGTTGGCTCTCCACTGCATATACGGATCTGTTATAAGCTTCCTTTTTTTTTTTTTTTTTAAATAACCCAGAAGTTTACTGAACACAATACATGAGAAGCAAGCCCCACGATAAGAAATCTGTTAAACAGAACTAAAAACTTGATTTTTAGCACCTTGATTTCTTACCATAACTATGTCTGATACTGTTAGATAAGGGGTTTGGGGAATTAATTTTATTTTATATTTTGGGAGCCACTCCTTCCCTTATATGTAGTGCTAGAATAGCTTCACTACCATCTAAAGCGAGTGCAATTACTAACGAATGAATCAAGGAATAGGATCTCGCGTTGCAGTAAAAATCCAATCTCAGTGCTTTGAGTTTCTCTCAATCTAAGACCTCTGTTGCTCTCAAACAGATGGTGTTCAAGCGACCAGGTAGGATGAGCGTGTCCCGTACCTGCTGTTCCATTGGCTCTTTTTGTTTTGCCTGTCTCATCCTGCATTTAGGATTAATTCCTGTAAAGGATGGACCTAGAAATGCTCCTTGGACGTTAGCTTTCCCTTAGCAGTATGTTTTCCCTTTAAATCACAGTGCAGGGGCAGTTCTGTAAGTTTTCAGCCGTGGTCTATAAGCTCTTATATTCAGGAAGAGTCTCTGTGATTGCTGCTTTGATTCTGAACTTCACTTGGAAAACATGAGCAGCATTTCACTCTGCAGCTTCCTTGTGATGCAGAGAGGAAATTAACTTTCCCTGATTTAAGATGCTTTTAGACCTGCCTGTCTTTCGCCGCTGGAGCGGTTCCAGCAGGACTTTTCAGCAGCCGCAGGTGGGGGTGCTCAAGCAAAAATCCGATTCGATTCCTGCAGCAAGCGGGGAGTAGGTCCTGCAAGGCTCCTTTTAGGAATTAGCTTGGTGCCTCGTGCAAAACCCAGTCTCAGGAGCCACGTGCCCTGCCAGCGTGCTTGCGCGGAGGAGGAGGCGAGCGCTGGCTCTGGAGGCTTTGCAGGAGAGCACGGTGGGGAGACAGCAGAGCCCGCGCGGACACCGGGACCTTGCACAGGTGTTGGCCTCCCGCTGCTCGCGCACGGGAAGGAAAGCTTCACCCCCAGCTCCAGCACGGCTAGCAAAAGTGACCTCCGCTTGAAGGAGTTCAGGTTTTTCCTGCTCAGGTTTATGCCAGCCTTCAGGAACAGCAGGGATGAAGACGCAGCTCTGGGCTGGCATGGCGTGAAGCCCGCGGGGCTCTGAGCGAGCGCAAGGGGCTGCCTGCAGCATCAGAGTACTCTGAATATATACGTAGGGATTTGCACTCACCCTCAGTTAACGCTCAGCTGTTGTTTGGGTCAGTGTTCCCCAAGTTTAGGGTCAGGGTTTGGTGTGGCAAGCTTCCCTGAGAGGGCTTTCAAAACCGCAGAAAGGCAGGGGAATAAAGACCTGTAAAAAAATGAACCTCTTTCCCAAAATGCAGTACAGCAGAGCCTGAGCAGTTATTAAAATAGCAAACCCTTTCATTTACTACATTCAAGCATGTTCAGGGTAATTTTTCTGCAAAAGTGGCTTGCATACAAATATTTTTAACCAGGTAAATATATAATCTTGCAATAATAGCTCCTAATTTTTCTGTTACGCTGATTGCTGAGGGAGCACTGTGAACTGGTTCTGGCAGGTCAGAGGCAATGTCTGTTGCTTTTATTTTTGGGAGTAATTTGCTGGCACTGCAAAGGCTGCAGGTGTGGCTCTGAAATGTTGAGGTATTGTTCCAATAAAACTGTTAGATAGCAAGAATCTAGAGGCAGGGGGAGCAAAATAATTTTTTCTGTGACAAATTCTGCAAATGAGCGGTCCCGTGGAAGCGCAGAAAGCTAAGGCAACGTTTTCTCAGTGTATTCGGCAAGAGCCTGATCCGTCGTCCCTCCCAGGCGACGGCAAGGCACACGTTGACGTCTGCAGACCGAGAGCAGACCGCAACAGATTTCCCCAGCATTGAAGATACATGGAAGAAGAGCACCGATAGTTCTGCGCAACCACGTGCGTAGAGGCTGTTTACAAACTCGGCGGACTGCCTTTACTGAACTTTGATGTACGCGTTTGATCAACTGCCGTATTAACTAGCAGATCGGCTTTCACTGTGGGAAATAGTGTTGTTATTCTCGCTTTTCGCTCCAGACTTGACAGCGTTCCCGTTTTCGCAGGAAGCTGCCCGACTTGCAGAGACGCGGGCCTGCAGTCCCGCGCCGGGTTGCTCTAGCGGGGCCCTCGGCACCCACCGGGAGCTGCTGAGCCAGCTGCTTTTGGCCCCTAAGGTGTGGGGCGTTTTCCTCTGTCTCCAAATCAGGGGTTTTGCCAAAAATGTCACACCTGGTGAAAAGGCAGGAGATGCTTACAACAAGAACAGAAAACCCCAGCACCAAGTAGCAGCAGTGAAAAAGCATCGCGAACAACCACGTTGACTTTCTCCTCGATTTCAGCCCCCCCCCCCCCGCCTTGCTCTCGGAGGAAAAGGAAGTGGAAAAGTAGCAAAAGACTCCTGGCCTCTGCCTCGCAGGCGCGCGCGCACCCACGCCGCTGCTGCCTCTTAATTTACATGACAAATGCACTGTGCGTAGCCTTTGTTTGCACGGTGATTTAGACATCCATGATTAGAGCTCCCTTTCACCACCCAGACCTGATGTTCATTAAAAAAAGAAAAAAGAAGAAGACAGGAGGAAAAAAAATTGTAGTCTCTTGGTTGCCTAGACCCAGGACCATGTGTTCGGCTGGCATCGCGCCTGCTAACGAGTCAACCAGATTGACTAAAGCGGTGGTGCCAGTGATGATGGATGGAGTTTGCTCGCCTGCATGTTTTCAGCAAATGGCTTCTTCTGCTTCCTCCGTGTACCGAGCCCCTTTCAGCGGTGCTGGGGACAAGCCCCACGTACGAGCCCGAGGGGCTTTGCAGGAGGGCATTCGCTCGGAAACCTGATGAAAGGAGGAAGGGGGGATGCGGCACTGGGCGTGAGGAAGAGCCAGGCTCTGCAGGACATTTCAGGCGGGGCGGACCCATGCAAGACCCATGCATACGGCAGCGCGTAGCGAAGGTGGCTCTTTACGTGGGGCAGAGGCGGAGGTTAGGACACGTGAGATGGATTGGCGGGGTGCATCCCGCCCCGGGGCTGGACTGCATCGGACACGAG